AAAAAAAAAAAAAAAAAAATAAAAAAAAAAATAAACACATCATGGTAAAATTAATACCTTCTCAGCTTCGCATCGAAGCTAAAATTATGCAGAATATTTTTATTACCCGAAATAAAATTAATAGCACTACATACTTTAACTCAATTTTTAAACAGTAACTTGTGTCGATCATGTTTTATTTTATATTATGTGTTGAGTATTATTGAAATTTTTTGTATCATAGGTTTTAATCTATACCTCATGGTACTTTATAATATCATGTTATACGTTTCGTTTTTGGAAATGCTCGAATATAACTATGTTATTTTTACTAATTTTAAATTGATACTATGATATTTTCATAAAATTACAAGGTCGTCATAATTTCATTAAAATAATTTTTTTCACTGTATAGGTGATCCACGTTAATTTGCCCTTTCAAATTCCTAACTCGAAAATAAATATTCTTGCATGCGGATATTGCCTTAACGTTTCCGATATTTTAAACTGTACATATTTACATTGATATTTCTTTATGATTTATATTTTTAGCTCCATAACAAAAAAAAAAAAACAAAAGTATTTTATTTAAAACAATAATAAAAATTAGGAGTTACTTAAAATTTACCTTTTGTTTTACCGACACATTATTATTTGAATAACAATTTAAAGTAATAACTATCCTAAAATTGGTGTAAGTATCATTTTGAAAATAAGAGCTTATCAATTAAATGCATTCAAAATAAAGAAACTGATACTGAAAAATGTCTTTTAAAAACAGTTTTTTTATTTGAATTTAAGTTTTTACTCATTTTAAATAATCTTATAAAGCAATATAAAGAGTATTATTTTAATAAATTAAACTTGTTATGTGTTACAAAATATATCCGGACTGGGCCCTGTATTATATTCTATCCTGTCCGGAAATTTATGAGTATACAGTGATTTTTTTAAATATTTAATCCAAAATGAAAGCAATTGAATTTGATTAAAATTAAACCAAATGAATTTTATATAAAATAATTTAAATACATAAAATTGCATTATCCTTTATTTTCTAAATACCCGTAAGTGAATACAGTTTATAAAACTTTTTAAAATTTCTGCTTTGTTTCTAATCTTAATTTCAAATATAATCTTACAATATTAGTAGTTACTCGGTGTTTTCTGTAAAGCAAACTAATGGATCTAACAAAAACTATAGACACAAAAATAAATTATAAAAAATATAATAATGGTAATATAATAACACTACAGACTACTATAAATAATACGAAAAATAATGTACACATTATTATTTTAAAAGTTAAACAATGAATGTAATTTTTTTTTATTGTTTTAATGAAGAAAAAAAAAATTTAAATATATGTCAAAACTGTTGTTTAAATAAAATGTCTTGCGGACAAACGTAAATTACGGAAAAGTAACGAAGGATTATAAGATAGTTTTTTATACAGAGTGATGTTTAACTATGACTCACGCAATATCATTAAAATATAAAGCATAATATAATCTCTTCTTTTCAGAAGTTAATAGTACCTTAAGTTCTATAGTTTTCAGGAAACCATTTGGTTCCATCTCCCTCTTTCCTTCTTTACATTTAATCAACTTAAGTTTTTTAAATGGAAACGCATATATTTAGCTAACTTACACACTAGAAAATTACTTTTTATAAATCATTTAATGATACATTTAAGAAAATTATTGGTCCATAACAGCTAATGGAAGTTCTTAACTCTTTAATATAACGATTGGAGATGAAACGAGTCTATTTCTTTTCATCTTTAGGTATTAATGAACTTCACTACCCCTCTTACATTGTTAAAAAATGCCAATATACTGTAAAATAGTAGTCCAAAAGTAATGATTGACCAATCATTTTCTTAGATAAGTCATGTTCTAGTTTGTAAGTTGGTTTAATTTATGTGTTTCCATTTAAAAAATTTAAGTTAATTAAATGTTAAAAGGGAATGTGTGGGATAGAACCAGATTATTTTCTAAAAAATATAGAGCGTATGATACTATTAACTTTTGAAAAGAAGAAATTATATTATGCTTTATATTTTAAAGATATTACGTGAGTCATAGTTAAACATCATTCTGCATATTTTGCTTCTTACTTCTTTCTACGATAATATTCTTTTATTTATATTTTTTATTCTTATCATAGAAACAATTTTTTGAAGAGACATTTTTAATTTTAACCTCCCTAATTTTTATTATAATCAATAAAACTTTTTATTTTAATTTATTATTAACTTATTTATTTTAATTTTTAATGATCGATGAGAAAGTTGCGCAACGCAGAAAAATTCTTATCTGTGCGATATGGTAAAAATAAAGTATTGCTAAACAATGTCCCGCTCAGCTTTTCCAAATTTAAATGATAATTTTACAAAATATAATATAACAAAATTGTTTTATGGCTAGTCAACATTTTATTTTTGACCATTTTCCATTTAATAATAGAATGTTACCCTTAAACGTACCCATAAAAACAATTATTTTCATTAACAAACTTGATATTTATTATGATTTTAAAAATAAATAATCATTATTAAGCGAAAAAATAAAGAGTTTTCTAATAAATTATTGTACATAATATACAGAGTGATCGGTTTATCATAAACCACTCCAATAATTTCAAAATAAGTAAAATATTGAGAAAATGATTTTTAATTTCTTCTAGTTACCTAGAATTCTTGATTTATCAGGTAATAATTACTTTTTAGAATCACAACTTATAACTTAAAGGGGTGTCAACTTAAATTATTTTAAACATACATATTTCATTAACTTATAGAATAGGAAATAATCTAATTAAGAAAATGACTGGTCGATAACAACTTTTAGACCAGTATTTCAGAAGTTATTAACAATTTAAAGTTATGACTAGATGTGAGGAGAGATGCTGCTATTTTTATCACTAGTTTCTTCCCGGCTATACTCTTCGTCCCGCTTAGTTATAAAAATGAGAATACCATCCTAAATACCGTTTAAAAAATTGTTATTGACCTATAATTTTCTTAATCACACAATTTTCTATTTTATTAGTTAATTAAATATGTATGAAACCATTTAAAAGAATAAAGATGACACCTCTTTATGAGGGATCATTTTAAAAAGTAATTATTAGCTAATTAATTAAGAATTATATGGAACTAAATAAAATTAAAAATTAAATTTACAACATTGTATTTATTTTGGCAGTAATTGAGTAGCTTATGATAATCCGACAACTCTACACAGTCATTGATAAGCTATACATTGTATAGTCTATCTAGAATTACAATCAGTAAGACTAGTTGGAACAGTAAAACTGATAACGTTATTATTCCTTAAAAATAAAGTAACCGTTAAAAAAAAAAAAAATCAGTATATTTCTATATAAATGATTTATAGTTCATATTACTTTGATTCATTCGCGGTATCTTATTTAACTGTATAAAAATAACTATTAACATGTTCACATGACAATTGTTATAATAATTACAAAAGATTAATAAATATATTATATATCAGTTGATCAGTACCCTTGAATTTAAACATTCAACAAAAAAATGTATATATATAAAATAGAGCTTTTCAGAACTTTTGAAAACAGGGGCTGTACAAAAATGTATTTACCTCTTAAGCCAACTTCGGAATCATTGCCAGGCGGATACATATAATCCTCAGGCACCATAGCTGCGGCTTCGTCGATAGAAACATTTCTTAGCCCGTTGTCGTAGGGATCCCAAGTCCATTGGCAATGAGGATCTAATGTACAAGTATCATCCACGTATGACTTAATGCGTTGCATTGTCCTTAAGCTCATGTCGTCACTGTTAATATTAGCAAATGCCGGAATGACATGCACTAGCCACGCGTAAAATAAAAAGGACAAATTAAAATTTAACTCTGTACATTTTCCTTTTCTCCAGCGCGAACGCTTTTGCAAAAATAACGTTTTGCGTTGAGAGTGCTTAAATTTCTGAATGAAACATAAGTCATTAGCGGTGCATGTCATGTTAAATTTGCTTTAACCAATTGTGACAATGCTGCTCCAATTAACGTTTTAGTTTAATATGGGTTGCATAGAGTTATTTCATCTCGACAAATATCAATTTCTGTAAAACAAAATTATTAAAGCTTTTAAAATATTTTTATTAAATTATATTAACTAACAATAATATATTTTAAATAATTCGATGTATTTTTACAATAATCATAATAACTTCAAATGTTATCCTATTTATTATTAAAACTAATTCTTTTAGATCCTCAGCCAAAGTGGTTCGTATAATTATTTCTTGTAATACAAGTCCTGACAATATATTTTAATTGTGGGTAAGCTAAAAGAGAACAGTGGAATTTAATCAATAAATTCTTGTTAAACAAATTAATAATGTAGTCCTTACTACGTAAATTAAAAAAAAATCATGTTATTCTTTATTACTCTTAATTCAGACAGTATGAAATTATAGGTTAAATACTTGTATTCAACTAAACACACAAATCGAATAATAGCATACTATTCTATTGTGCACTAATATGTACTTAGCAACAATGAACAAGAACCGTTCTTTAGTATGATTAATTTAAATCTATTCAGGTCTATTGTCTTATATACCATACTATTCTATAGATGAATATCATAAATACAAACATCACAATGTTCAAATTTATGTTTGGCTCCGCTAAAACAACTAAATAAAAACAAAAAGATCACTATATAGTTACTACCACGAGCCTGTAACTATTTCTCTGAAAATGGACTATGCAACGAGTCTGAAACGTCAGCTCATAACTGAAAACGTGAATACATTTATGAACATTTCAAGCAACACGACAATCCACGAAAGCTTTAACGCATTCATAAAAAGATCAATTGAAACAAAAAATGTTTAGTAATTATTTAGCATAATTTTTTAGTATTAATAATGTTAAGTAACACTAAACATTTATTGTTCGTATGTGTTTAGCGTTGATAATGGTAACATTGTTTCCGAAAACAGTATCCGCGACATTTTTTGTGACTTTTTGAGTTAAATATTCTTATTATTTTTTAATTTTAAATTAATATTTTCAATGTAGTTTTAATTTTAAATAAAGTGATACGATGTTTAATTTTGTTCCTCTACAGATTTTTTTTACAAACAGTAACTCATAAAACAGACAATAAATTTAAAACTTAAAAAAAAAATAGTGAAATTCGTCTAATGTATTGATAACAATTAGAACATTCTGGAGATTGGAAAACTTTTGACTCCCACTCGCATTAAAAGTAAGTAGCCATTTCTCCTGAGGATATTTCAGTAGATCAAAACAAGTTGCTTTCATTTTTTACCTACGCAACTTTATGGATTTAATTTTAAAATTCTTCCCTCAAAGGCTTAGGTATTTCATATTTTCATTTTATATCAACTTGTATAAAATATATGAGTAAAAACATACTGAAAATTTAAAAATGAGTTATTTCAAAAATAGAGTTTCTACAATCTCAAAATCATATTAATATTTTGAAATATTTCAGAGCACATAAATACTTCTTCTTTTATAAACATTTAACCTTATTTTTGATTAATTAAATACATATATTTTAGAAAATAACAGATTATTTTGTATAAAAATTTATCTAAATTAATTCATAAAGTACTGTATATTTTAATATATTTGTTGTTTCAACTTTGAAATGGACAATAGTAAATTGTTTACTAACCAACAACCTTAATAACTAGTCTTTAGCACAATATTTCAATTGTGTTAAGTTAAACCGTCACCTATTATTAAAATCTCAAGTGGTTATATTTAGCTACTCTATGATCTTTTCCTAAGCAAATATATCATGGTACATATATATATGTTCTTTGAATCAATTTAAGTATTAATTTGCTATAATAACTTTATTCAAATTAGATTCTATCGATTATAATTTAAACTTTTAAAACTAAAGTTCTAAATGATAAAAATTATAATTTGGTAATGAACCATACCCTTAGATAAAATAAAAACAATTTTTTAAAGCATACTTAGTACATTTTAAAACCACAACAATTATCGAAAATATTATTGATATATTAAATATTAATATATATATATATTAAACATTTTAAAGCATAAAATTACAAAATAAAATTTAGTAACAAAGTTAAATGAATATATTTAATTCGCTACGTTCTAAATTTTGTTAGATCATATCAATTTTAATACATATATTACATTATGAATATTCACGTATGATTTTTGTATACATTTATACAATATTTATATTAATACATAAATATATATTACTCAATATCCAATAATACTTTTAGATAAACGATTATTATTGGTGTATTGTAAAAAAACTACTAGTAAACTCTTGATGTGAGAGTTTGAAAAGAGGTACACGTGTGTCACACGAATAGAATTGAAAATGCCATCCATGCCAAAATGACATCTTCTATCCCTTGTCGACTTATCCCCACCTTTAAAATTGTTAGCATTATGCGACGACGTATTTTAATTATAGAACTTATAGTTTTAAAAAATTACTGTGTTCGACGATCGAAGGTGTTTATGGAATGTTGATGTTATTTTATGATTTTTCACTTTAAAAATTATACGCTAATAATATCTCATTGCAATAAACTTATTGTCATTGATGAAACATATCAGTGATGTATCAATAGTTTAAATATTTGTTGAAATTAAAAATTTTGATAATATAGCATAGTTAAGTTTAGTAAAGTTGTTTAAAAATCAATAACTAAAGCAATTATGTGAAACACTAATGGTATTATCGTATAAACTAAAATAAATATATTATTACATTAATTATGTTACTTAAAATAAATCGACTATAATTTATTTAAAATAAATATAATTTTGAATTTGTCTGTCAAAAAAAATTTAGATTAAAAAATAAATACATTTTTTTATCAATCTATTTTCTTTTTAAAAATAAATATAATAGTATAATATAATATAATAGTCATCTATATTTATTGATATCCTATAAATATTAATTTTGATAATTCATAATGTAAAAGCAAAGTTGAAGTTAAACATAAAATAATATGTTTTTATGATGCGAAAAATAATGAAAACTTAAAAATAATTATTTTAAATCCTCTATCGTTTTTTTTTTAGTTATTTGACCTATTTAAAAAAGTTTTTGTTGTTACATAATTGACATAAGTTGAAATTGTTTTATAAATTATAATTATATCATCATATTGTCACCTTCTAATATGATCTAAGCTAAATAACATTTACTGAAACAATACAATTTTAATAATTTCTAGAATTATTAGATTGAACGTATCAATTTTATTTATTTTATTCTACATTTAAAAATATAAGGAGGAATATTTTTTTATTTTAGTTATCTCTGTAATATTTTCCTATTTTCGCTAAAGATTGGCGTGTTTGACAACTAAAAAAATATTGTTTAAATTTTTTAACGATAAAGAGTACTATATTATGGAAACAGATTGGATAACGTTCAATTTCGTCAGGAGATTCACGCAAAATATTGTTTTCTCATGACGAGTGTTATGCATCATTTGTGTGAGAATAAGAGTGACGGTAGACGTTTTTATTCTATAAAAGTCAACAGGAAAACAAAAATAACCTATTCCATAGTCGTGTTTGGAAGTTGAAATAATAATAATATTAGTGTAGATTCGTAAGGTTTTCTTATTACATGATTTTATTGAACCGAAAGTTATTCGTTGATACAAAAAAGTAAACTAAAAACAGACATCATTAGATAACGAAATACAAAAATATCAAGTTGGTACCAAGTTTCCAAGTCAATATTTATAAAGCGTCAAAAAACTATTCTTTTTTTATCGTTCCAAAAATAAAACAGTTGTCCATATGACTTTCAATCAATCTTATTTATATCTGTTTTTGAACTAATGGTCAACAAAAAAATCATTCCTAGCTAATGTGTAGTAGACAAACGGTAAAGATTTGACTGATTACATAAGTGGGTCGACATTTGTTTTTGTTATGTGTCTGCTGTAAGTGTAATATAGAATATTATAAATGTCCACAAATGCCGTTCCATTAATTACCACTAAAATTGTTACACATTTGTTTACAATTATTTATCTAATAGTACAAAAACATATATAACTAAAACAATTTAACTAAGCGCATGTAATTATTCTAGTAAAGTCCTTAGATTCTTTTATTTATAAGGCTTCCAACATGAAATAACATAAACTTCATTCGTTATATTGAAATTAAATGTTTTAATTATAATCGTCCTTTACCCTGTTATTTAAAATTTTTCTTATATTATTCATCGTGTTTCAATAATAAGTTCTACTTAGAAAATATTAACTTAATTTCCATTTAACAAATATGCTTAGTTTGTTTTTAATTTGTACCAATTATGGTATTTTTCTCATAGTCAATACTCATATTTTTATTAAATGCCGCATATTTATAAACTATCGCAATCTCAATTAGTTTCTGCAATTAAATTCAATTAACATTTCGTTAGTTTTTTGTTGGACTTCGAGAAAATCCTTTGACTCAATTTTAATTATAAATAAGCTGATGGCTTAGAGTTCAGTAAATCTCAAACGAGAATTACTTAATACTGAAATAAATTCCACTGTAATTTTCTCGAGAGACATTCATCATGATTTATGTTTACGTGCTTCTAGAAAATTACTTAAGTCATAATAAATTGTTTATCAAAAATTCAAAATTAATAATATTATAATAAAGAAATATAATAAATTTTTAGACGGAAACATTTTCAACTGTGCAAAGATTTAAATATAATAATATAATTAACATTGTACCGTAACAAAATTAAAGTAGAACACTGTTTTGCAACTTAAACATCCTTCCAAATAACTAATTATTTTAAAAACGGTTTTAGGCTTCCTAGGAGGATCGTTTGAACCAATGGCTGCAAGAGTAATAATTAATGAAATATGATGGGCTGAGTAAACCTAAACATACAGTGATATTCTGTTGGTATAATTAATGTAACTTCGATAGTATTCCTTATGAAGAAGGTCCAAAAATGACGTCAAACATTTACGATGGTGGATGCAAGCTAAAATAGAGGTAGAAATATGTCAAGTTTGTAATTACAGTAAAACTATTTCGGCATTTTGAC